GGGCGGCTGTAGGTTAAGGATGGGGGAGCCCCCGGGTGGGTTATCAGGTTTTAGGGTGCTTCCAACATGTGCGAACGGTGGGAGAGCGGAGAAGAGAGCGAGCGAGCGCCCCGCTGTGTGAAATCCTGCCGTCAAAGCAACACTGGGGGAGGCAGGGTATAAATTTACCAGGTTAATGTAGCAATGGTGATTAATGTCCAGAACATTGTTTGCGGGTATTGGTGTGTGTGTGTGTGTGTGTGGTGGTGGTGAGGAGAGGTTGTCCTTTGAATGCGGAAAAGTAGGTGTGACCTTGTGTAGGAAAATAAAGAGATCCTTTTTAGCGTGTTTGGCTTCTTTGCCTCCCCTCCTTCGTTTTGACGTGGAGATAATGGCCTTCGGGCGGGAGGGGAAGAAAACGGTAGCTGGATCATTTCAAATTTCACTTACTCTCCTGCCTCACTTCAATATGTCTGAGCGACTCCAGATACTGGAAGACTTTTTGAATGAAAGTGTTACCTCCATTTTTTTTTTTTTAAAGAGGGCCACTTGGGGAAAAAAAAAGATTCTAAGGAATTCCTTGTTTCTTGATTAAAGAGAAGGCATTGAATATACTGTTCCTTGGCAGCCTTTTCAGTGTCCGGGTTTTTGGTGTGTGTGTGTGTGTGTGTGTGTGTGTGAGAGAGAGAGAGAGAGAGAGAGAGAGATCAGCTGTATTGAGAAGAGAACGTTTCCTGTGTTCTCATTTTATTTACAACATATTTTACGCTTAATGGTAAGCAATGAAAAATATTTTAAAACTCATTTCTAAACTCCATAGCTATTTGCATATTCTTGGTTCAAAATTGGATTAGCTCATTTCAAAATTGTCCAAAGCAGAAAAGTGCGTCAAAAAAAAAAAAGTGCAAAAGTGGAAGGTGTGTGGAAGAGGGGGTAGTCTTATACGGCGAGTATATAACAAACTCTATATTTTGAGTGGAAATGTTGGGGGGTCGTCTTATACGCCCAGTCGTCTTATACGCCGGCAAATACGGTATGTACAAGGTTTCCACTTCAACTCCCGACAACCTTTCCTCTAAATACTAATCCTTATAGTCCAAAAAAATCAAGAAGGCATCAGGATACTCACTTACATATACATCACTATATATACCTATATATACTATAGAATATATACCACTAGCAACTTCATATTTAATGGATAAAAATAACAATGTTTGCTCTAACTATGGATGACTTCATGAACATATTACTCTGGGATTTTAGTTTAATTAATTAAATTAGATTTAATTAACCTTGCCTTGTACTTTCACTGTTTGCGCGCGCTCTCTCTCTCTCCCCCCCCCCCCCTCTCCCCCTCCCTCTCTCTCCCCCTCCCTCCCTCTCTCTCTTCCTCTCCCTCCCTCCCTCTATTTCTCCCTCTTCTCTCTCTCTCTCCCCTCTGAATAATTACTCTCATTGGTTTTCACTTTCAACTTTCATATATAAGTGCCTCTTTACTCCTTCATCCATCTTTTGGGGATCAAAGACAGATTTAGGAATCTGAAACAATTGGTATTAATTGTTATGGAGATGGCTAATCTATGAATCCTTGCCTCCTATCTATTGTACAGAGAAAAAATTGTCAACAATGGTAGGACAAAAACAGCTTTTCTCAAAAAGGATTTGTCACCTCCATCACTGTCAGAAAAACAAACCAGCTTTTTAGTGAACAAATGAAGTTGTTTAAATATCTGGGCTTTTCCTTTCAACTCCCAGGAGTCTGGAAAAAACAACCATGGGCTACTTTTGTACAGGTCCACAGATTTTCTAATGTTATTTTTTTTGCATTACATCAACTCTAAGGGTAGCAATTACGTGGCCTGAACCATAATAATTTTCAGAGAGAAAGTTATTAGAGTTCTGTTACATAGCACATGGGTTTGCAATCAGTGTAACCCAAGCCTTCAAAAGAAAAAAGAAAAAAAGTCCAATGGCATTTTTAAGAATATTGCTGTGAATACCCAGGTATCTTCTGAACTCTTGATGACATTTGACAACTAGGTTGTTCTGTATAGAGGATCTCGTGTGGTTCTGATGCCTCAAATCCTGGCTTCAGTTACTTCCTCATCAATAGCTCCCTATTTTTTCCTGATCTTACCTAACAAATGGGGGAAAGGTGTAGATTTGAACTTAACCTTTTATGTCATACTGGTTCAATGGTTGACCTCAGTCAGCCTTGAGAGGGTATTGCTGAATTAAACAACAAGTTGTTATTGGTGAATTTGTTTTTACCAAGGTTATATATCATATATGCATTGCTTTTAAAAAAAATATATACTATTGTATTTATTGTTAGCTTCTCTGATGTAGACATAAATTGAAATGATAATGATGATAAGATAGTTAGATGGTAGATATGGATTTGAAGTACCACAATGTTCGGTGGGAATTATTTTTTGCCACGCTTCTGCTATTTCCCTAAATCTAAAGTTAGATTATGACCGGATTTCAGATTAAAATATTTGTATTAATTATTCATTCTTTGATAAATCAAACAAATGACATAGGAAATCCCCCATTAAGAACTAAATTTTCAAAAATGTAGCAAAACTATTCCGACGTTGATACTGTATGTTTCATATTTCACTTAAGAGTTGAAATAACAACTTTTGATGTTGAGGGAGACTTGGAAATGTTAGTCTATAATTTTTTTATGGTACTGCTATTCAGCTTTTCAAATTCATTTTGTTGTCAACTAACTTATATTGCTGTTTCAGCACTTCAGAGGGAGATCTACCCATGGCATGGAAGGCAGGCTATGGGAGACCATGTAATACACCTGCATAGGTTGTTTTCCCACAATGAAAAAGATGATAAATGGGATATATTATGATCATCCATAGATCTGAAGTTCCCCGGTCCCTGGTTCCAGACACCTCACCCTAGCCCCCCAAAAGAACCCTCAAGTATATCAATCCTGAAATAGCTTTTTCTTCCCATTAATTGCAATGGATCAGGAGTGTTAATGTCTCCCTGCTTTTATATATAATACATTTCCCCCTTTTTTGACCTGCTAATTGTAGAAACAAATAGCCTTCCCAATACATCCCCCCACCACACACATTTAGAAACATGCAGTGCTAAGTCTACCTTAATACACCATCAAGGCAGTTTTGAAAGTGATGCAAATAAGAAGTGGGAGTAGACAGGTTTATATTTCATCAACTGTGTCAAAAACCACATGATTCTTTCAGATCAGAAACCTTCGCAAATGCATCTGATTGTGGGCCACACAAAATACCAGAGAGAAGAGCCATTGCTCTGACCAAGATGTTTCCCAAGGTCTCATTTGTTTAGGAGGCCACAGAGTTAGATCTATCTATCTATCTATCTATCTATCTATCTATCTATCTATCTATCTATCTATCTATCTATCTATCTATC